TTTTTTTTTTGAGACAGAGTTTACTCTTTTTTTTTTTTTTTTTTTTTTTGAGACGGAGTCTCGCTCTGTCACTCAGGCTGGAGTGCAGTGGCTGGATCTCAGCTCACTGCAAGCTCCGCCTCCCGGGTTCACGCCATTCTCCTGCCTCAGCCTCCCGAGTAGCTGGACTACAGGGCGCCGCACTCGCCCGGCTAAGTTTTTTGTATTTTTAGTAGAGACAGGGTTTCACCGTGTTAGCCAGGATGGTCTCGATCTCCTGACCTCGTGATCCACCCGTCTCGGCCTCCCAAAGTGCTGGGATTACAGGCTTGAGCCCCGCGCCCAGCCAGGATTCTACCTTGTTGCCCAGGCTGGAGTGCAATGGCATGATCTCAACTCACTGCAATCTCCACCTCCCAGGTTCAAGCATTCTCCTGCCTCAGCCCCCCGAGTAGCTGGATTACAAGCATGTGCCACCCCAGGCCCGTCAATTTGTATTTTAGTAAAGACAGGGTTTCTCATGTTGGTCACGTTGGTCTCGAACGTCCTGACCTCAGGTGATCTGCCCGCCTCAGCCTCCAAAGTGCGGGATTACAGGGCATGAGCCACTGTGTCTGACCCAAAAAGTTTCTTTTTAAAAAATATACTTTTTTTTCTTGCTCTGTCGCCCAGGCTGGAGTGCAGTGGCGCAATTTCGTCCACGCAACCTCCGCCTCCTGGGTTCGCGCCATTCCTGCGCTCCAGCCTCCTGAGTAGCTGGGACTATAGGCGCTCGCCACTACGCCGGACTAATTTCTTTGTATTCTTTAGTAGAGACGGGGTTCCACTGTGTTAGCCAGGATGGGTCTCGATCTCCTGACCGCTGTATCCCTGCCTTGGCCTCCTAAAGTGCTGGATATACAGGTGGAGACACCGCGCCTGGTCTAAAAATAATTTTTAAAAATACAGATGGAGTCAGCCGGGGTGGTGGCTCAAGCTTGTTAATCCCAAGCATGTTTGGGAGGCCGAGACAGGGGATCACCTGAGGTCAGGTGGTCAAGACCCAGCCTGGCCAACATGGGTAAACCTGTTTCCTACTAAAAATACAAAACTTAGTTGGGCGTGTGGCGCACCTGTAATGCCAGGCTACTCGGAGGCTGAGCAGGAGAATCGTTGAACACCGGAGCCGAGGGTCAGTGAGCCGCATAGTCTGTCATTGACTCCTGCTGGGTGACAGAGCAAGCCTCCGTCATCAAAAAGTATCCTTTTCAGTACATCACATCATTAGTGTGTACTGATTGATGCTCATTTTAACCAGTTGGTTAAGGTTGTGTCTGCCCACTTTCTCCACCTAAAAGTTATTATTTTTTCTTTTGTGATTATTAAGTAATTTGTGAGAAGATCTTTTGAGACTATGAAATTATCCTCCTCATTAAACTTTCATCCAGTAGGTTTTAGCATCCATTGATGATTCTTGACTGATTCAGTTATTACTATGATGCCAAAGGGTGATTTTTCTAACTCCATCACTCCTTGGAAATTTACTAATTGGTATTCTATGGCAAAAAAAAAAAAAAAAAAAGCAAAAGCATTGGCAGTTTTTCGGCCATTCTTTTTTTTTTTCTTTTTGAGACAGAGTCTCACTCCGTCCCAAGGTGGAGTGCAAGTGGTGCGATCTCCAGCTCACTGCAACCTCTGCCTCTTGGTCTCAAGGCGATTCTCTGTCCCCCACGCTCTTCTCCC